ATCGGCCCTCACTATGGCAAGACGCAGAGAATTCTCCTCCATTACCAAAACCCTACGCAACCACAACCAGGCTTACCGTTGGGGATTCCCTACAAAACTATTGATCTGGCGACAGAATAAGCTCCACACTATAGATGACCCCCTGAAAGGTTTATCCATGCTGAAACTCTGGGGACTCTGGGGCCAACAAGAAGCCACCCACCAACAACCGAACGCCTCGACCACCCTGAAGAAATCCCAGCCAGAATGGCAGATGGTTGGCGCTCGACGATAACAGCCATCCCATACAGGACAGCATCTCCCTGCCTCCACTTGTTGATGCACCCTACAGCTGCATAAGAAGACACCGTGCTGACTGTCGATGCCCTCGCCCGTCACGAACTTCTACCTCTTACTCCTGAACTGTCTCCAGCTGGCTTATGCCTCAAGCAAGGGCTCTAAGCCTATACATCGCTAAGGGTCACAGACCCCAGTTGCTACGAGTGGTATCGTATGAACGTACACGGTGGCATATTGTTGGATGAGGGTGTGGGGTGGGGGGCATGGATAGTTCACATGATGAAGGAAAAAAAAAAAAAAAAAAGTTTATACAATTTCCATTAAGTATTGCTCATACAAATAAGGGAGGTCGTACATGTTTTACTGTTTTATCTGAGGAATGTTTGCAAGGGAGTAATCCCCCCTCTTGAAAACTGCTATGTCATAATGTTCGTTTAGGTCCCCATGTGTAACATCTCATCCCCCTGTACTCCAGTAGGCCCTAGGGCTAGGTCTCCCTAGGCCCCCCTCCTCCCCATGAACGTTAAACACACACATGGCCAAGTGGCCGCCTCCTGTGAACTATGATTACGTCTTTAGATACACTATCGACCATGCTCAGCCTAATAGAAGGAAATATGTATCATATATCACAAGAAAAAAAAAAAAAAAAAAACCCCTTCCGCCAAGCAGCCGCAGCAATCCCGGTTATGTCCCTATAATTACGTTACCCTTCTCCACTATAATGCATCAGGGATTTAGAGGGGGCGCAGGCGAGAATGCTGTCCAGGTTTCAGACCCTCTTGCGTATATTTTCCGTCCCATTCTTGCTTACTCTAAGATTCTGGTCCGGGTGCGGCCCTGTTCCGCACGACCCCCCAAAGGTATCCGAGGTATTTGGAGCTTTAGGCTCCCCTCCGGATCCCAGTATTTTCTCTCGTCCCAGAGAGAGTTAATGTATATACCTTTGTTTGTTGATTTTGTCTTTCCTGTTAATTCCCTTCCCATCCCCTTGGCAGCTCCGTTGTCCCATATCTGTGCAGGTCGTACTCAGCCATTCGATCTTCCCTTATTCTACACTACGCACCATCTATCCACAGGTCCCATGGGTGTCGCTGGCAGACAGTATGCTGTGACCAACAAGCTTTATTGTATATCTCTTTAAGATGACGTTCCAATTTAAATGTCTCTCTATGAATGCCAACGGCCTAAATAGCCCATTCAAAAGGAGCTCTGTGATTAAGACCATTCATACTTCCCAGGCTGCCATAGTCTGCCTCCAGGAAACACACATGTGCAAAAGAAACCCCCCTAAACTGAGCTCATCCAGATACCAGCAGGTATTTCATGCCCATGCACCAAACAAAACGAAAGGAGTGGCAATTCTGTTCCATATTGATTGGGTCTTTCATCTTGATAATTCCTATGTAGACGAGCTGGGCAGGCTCCTTGTAGTGGTAGGATCGCTGAATGGTATGCAACTTACAATTGCTTCCATTTATGCACCCAACAACTCCCAAATTTCCTTCATTAAAAGAGCACTGTATAAAATCGCTACTATCCGTGTAGGGCACACTATTATCTGTGGCGATTTCAATTGCACACTAGACCCCGATCTAGACATCAAGAGAATAGCAAACAAACAACCTCTCCAACTTGCTAACACAATGAGCGCAACCCTTAGCACACTACTCCACAGGCACGACCTTTACGATTCATGGCGTTCCCTTTACCCGAAAGATCGAGACTACACATATTTCTCACGAGTCCATCACACATACTCGCGTATAGATATGTGCTGGGTAGATAAAAATACAGTATCGAATATAATAGAAGTGCAAATAGGTGACCGGACCTGGTCCGACCACGCGCCGGTAACCACTACTTTCAGGGCCTTGTTTCCATCACGGGGGCGCAGTGCCTGGCGACTAAACGAATCCCTCCTCGACAACGAGACTACGGCGGCAAAAATTCGGGATAACATAATATCATTTTTCGAGAACCATCTTTCCGACAGCACACGCATAGACACTAAATGGCTGGCCCTAAAAGCAGTGCTAAGAGGCCTATTAATTCAAGCAGGCGCAATTAACAAAAAGAAAACCCTCACCGAGTCAGATAACCTTCATTCCCAACTTAAATCCTTAGAACAAATTAATAAACTCAAACCATCTAAAAAGCTATCCCGTACTATTGAAAAGTTAAGGGACAAAATACTTAATATTTCCCTGATAAATGTGGAACGACAGCTCCGCAAATTAAAGCTCGCCTACTACATGCAGGGGAACAAGGCTGGCAAATTACTCGCAAAGCGTCTAAAATCCCGATACATACAATCTAAACTACCATACATGACTTCGTCCAATGGATCAAAATTGTTTAACCCACAAGATATAGTAGACGAATTGGCCAATTTCTACAAAGGACTTTATAACCTCGCACAGGACAGTACTTTACACCAACCATTAGACACAGACATAGCTACCTTTTTGACGGGAGCAGAGCTGCCGCACTTATCGGCACGTCAATGCGCAACCTTATCAGCCAAATTCACAGAGGAAGAAATACAAAACGCAATTCGCAAACTGCCCAAACATAAAGCGCCGGGTCCAGACGGGTTCTCCAACCACTTTTACTCCACATTCAAGACACAGCTTACCCCGCACCTCACAAACCTCTTCAACTCCTTCAGGGACTCAGGGACAATACCGAAAGAAATGCTGCTAGCACATATCGTTACACTTCCTAAGCCCGGCAAACCACCTACCGAATGCGCCAACCTGCGACCAATCTCCTTGTTGAACGCAGATATAAAACTTTTTGCCAAATTATTAGCCAACCGCCTCCAACCCCTCCTGAGAGACCTGGTTTCCCCAGAACAGGCAGGCTTTGTCCCACATAGACAACCGGGGGATAACACGCGGCACTTCCTGAACCTCATCTCCTGGGCCCAAAAAACCAACCAACATGGCATTTTACTAGCTCTAGATGCGGAAAAAGCATTCGACCGCCTTAATTGGTCTTACATGAGGGCTGTCCTAACTGCAGTGGGCATACCACAAGACTTCCTGAAAGGCATTATGGCCCTATATTCCAATCCAGAAGCCAAAGTATTCAACTCAGGGTTCCTATCTCAGTCTTTCCAAATATCCAATGGCTCTAGACAGGGCTGTCCCCTCTCCCCATTAATCTTTATAATTTGCATGGAACCACTGGTTAGACATATCAAAAGTGACAATTCGATCGAAGGCCTATCTACCCCCATCGGGACTCAAAAAATAGCCCTATTCGCTGACGATGTCCTTCTCTTCTTATCACGTCCAGCAAAATCCTTACCAAACCTACTAACTTTGCTGGAAACTTACGGTAAGGTCTCGTTCTATAAAAACAACGCCAAAAAAACACAAGCATTGGCATTGGGATTGCCACCTTCCTCTTTAAACCCTCTAAAAACACTATACCCGTTTGAGTGGCGGAACTCCTCCATTTCATACTTGGGTATTAAATTGCCAACGAAGCTCTCAGCATTAACGCACGAAAACCACTTGCCACTCATTCACAATCTAGAGCAACTCCTCAAGTCCTGGGAGGAGAAGGAGATCTCCTGGTTAGGACGTATCCACACTGTAAAAATGATGATCCTCCCACACATTCTATACTTATTCCGCACTCTCCCCATTACAATCCCAAACTCGCTCCTAAAGAAATTCCAGGCCATGATCAATGCTCATATTTGGAAGAGGAAACCCCCCAGGATAGCGCAAAACTCACTATGGCGCCCGTTCACAAAAGGAGGTCTGGGTGTTCCCAATATATCCCTTTACTATAGGGCGTCCCTGCTGGCCCAGGGCCTCACGATCCTCGAACGCCCCTCTCCCCCAATATGGCTGGCATTGGAGAACGCCTGCACACCTAATGGCTCGATCCCACTTTCCCTGTGGGCCGGGTCCAAATTTCCCAAAGCCACATCCTTGCTGCCCACCACAGTCGCGCTCTTTCACAACTGGAAACAAACTACACCGCTCTTCCTACGGAATAACGACCTACTCCTAGCCGCTCCAATCCAAGCCCTGACTTCAAGAACCTCAAACATACACCTAGACATATGGCTTAAGAAAGGGATCACCCAGGTTCGTTCCCTACTATCCGCTGAAGGCATCAAGCCCTTCTCAGACCTGATTAGGGAATTCCACATCCCCCCAGGGGAACTATTCTCCTATCTCAGAATAAAAAACATAATTCAGAAAAGCGGGATTAGCCTGAGTGAACCCGACTCTACATCACCCTTCATTCACAAATGCATGGGCAAGCTTCCAAAAATCAAAGCATTATCTCTATGTTACAACACTCTACTGCTCCAAGACAAACTGTCCAAACCATCATATATGTCTAAGTGGGAATCAGATCTGGGAAAGCATTTTTCTAATGATTTATGGCATCGCGCCCAAAAATTAACTAAACAGGCGTCCCATAGCCTTAACCAATGGGAAACATACTGTAAATTAACAATGCGTTGGTATCTAGTCCCCACCAAACTGGCCCGTATCTACCCGGGCTCTGACGCAAGCTGTTGGAGATGCCAAAATAGCGCAGGGTCCCTCTTTCATTTATTTTGGTCATGTACGCCTATTACCACTCTATGGCGGGACATACACGCCCTTCTGTATAAAATCCTGGGGGTGCACATCCCCCAATCCCCAGAATGCTTTCTACTACATATTTTTCCGAATTCTCTTCCCAAGGAAGCAATCCCTTTCATGATCCACTGTCTCATGGCTACTAAAACTGCCATCGCACATAGATGGAAATCACCATTGACGCCAACAATGCCAGAAATCCTCAGCAGGCTGGACTCACTCCATGCTTATGAACGTATGGCTAGCCGGCTGACAAATAACCAAAGCAGGTATAAATTAAGTTGGCAGAGTTGGATATTCTTTAGAGAGGGGGAGGCGCCCCTGGTGCCATAATCCGACCACTAACCCCAACCGGGTTTCCCCCTCACCCCTTACTCCATGGGCCCATAAAGCAGCCCCCCTACGAGTAAGTCAGTATGCCCTAAGGTATTTTCACCTGCCAAATGCTTGTATACCTCCAATATGTTATGTGAAGATCTCATGCTATCTGTAATGCCTATAATGCCTATAATGTCCTCTTACCAAGGATTACCAGACATTCGAATTGTTAGCTGTTTCAAACTGTATTACATTGTACTGTACTGAAGGATATGTGTAAATTTGTACAAGCTGCTTTTCCCCTTTTTCCCTTCCCCCTTCCCTTTTCTCTTTTGTACCCCTTGATATACCTCGTATTCTGTTTTATACGATGTGTAAACAATAATATGCCTAAAATAAAACACATTGGAAAAAAAGAATGTACAAACATGTAAAAATACGTTACTTAAAAAGGTCAATGTTAGTCACCTCATGCCTGGGAGTGACACCTACTTCCCCGTTACCCCCCCCCTGTTACTTCTATAACTGTTTTCACCCTCTCCCAGTGGTACCCTAGATAGGGAATATCCAAATCACCAATGCCATATCTAGAGGAAACATGACTAATTTGTTGAACTATGTAAACTAATGTAACATGACTCTCGAAATGGAAAATGTGAACTCAATCTGTATATGGCAGAACATACAAGCATTACTGACAACGAGGCACCAACGGGTGTGCCCACACCAAAGTACAAAGATATGAATGTATACCACTGTCCTCTAACTATTGTCCTTTTCCCCTACCCCTTTTTCTTTCTGTACCCCCCCAAAAAAGATCAATATAAATTGTCAAAGTAAAAAAAAAATAATAATCTCCCTGGGTAATCCCAACCGGGAGAATATCTGCATGAGGGCATCCGCGACCGTTTTAAGCGTGGATGTTGGTCAGAGCCACTGCCTCTGGATATCTAGTAGCATAATCTACTACCGTTAAAATGTACCTTTTGCCTGACGGGCTAGCTTTCTTGAGGGGACCTATCAGATCTACCGCTATTCGGCTAAAAGGTTCCTCAATTATGGGAAGGGGGTGAAGTTTCGCCTTCCTCCGGTCTCCCCTTTTCCCTACCCTTTGGCAGGTATCGCAGGTGGTGCAATACCTGCGTACCTCCTGGCTGATCCCTGGCCAGAAGAAACTTTGGGTCAGTCGGTACCTAGTGCGACTGACCCCTAGATGTCCGGATAGCGGAATATTGTGTGCTATCTGGAGTAGCTCTGCTCGGTACCGCTGCGGCACCACTAGCTGCCTCATCACTATTGGGTCTGACCCAGCAATCTGCTTGTCTGTCTCCCTGTACAAAAGCTGCTTGTCCCAGACAAATCTCTCTCCCTCTCCCCCAGGAGTGTCTGCTGTCACCTTGTCCCTATACACCTGCAAGGTGGGGTCAGTCACTATCTCAGCTGCAAATTCGTTAGGAGGGGCCCAGGGAACACCGTCAAGGGAAGGGGAAGGATCTCTTACCTGAACCTTCAGGAGCGTGTTGTAGTCCTGGGTGCGGGCCTGTTGTCGGGTGACCACAGGGTGAGCTTCTCCTGTGGTGGGTGTCTGGGGCTCAAAAGCGGACGTGAGCCTCACCAGATCGTTCCCCAATAAAACCTCTGCCGGTAACTGCGGCATCAACCCCAGATTAGCCTGATCTGAAACCAGGTGACTCTTTACCAGGGTGATGGTAGCCCCTGAGTCGCGTAGACCCTGGACCGCTTTACCCTCCAGATATATGGTCTGCCTGTGATGCTGTCGGTTGTCAGCATTGGCATGGACTGGATTTCTGTCTCTTACCCACTCCTGTACATCGCTGGTTTCAGATATATGGTCTGCCTGTGATGCTGTCGGTTGTCAGCATTGGCCTGGACTGGATCCGCCTCGTGCAGTACTTCCCACTGTTCCACGGTTGTAATGGGAACAGCTGAGCCATATGGTGTGGCCACGATATCCTGGTAGTGGTGAGCTGCGGCTACTCTCGGTGGTGGTGGTGGACCGGGTCGGATCCAGGTGGAACGATCCCGCAGCAGGTAGGGTTTCTGTCTCTTACCCACTCCTGTACATCGCTGGTTCCAGATATATGGTCTGCCTGTGATGCTGTCGGTTGTCAGCATTGGCCTGGACTGGATCCGCCTCGTGCAGTACTTCCCACTGTTCCACGGTTGTAATGGGAACAGCTGAGCCATATGGTGTGGCCACGATATCCTGGTAGTGGTGAGCTGCGGCTACTCTCGGTGGTGGTGGTGGACCGGGTCGGATCCAGGTGGAACGATCCCGCAGCTGGGGGCATTCCCTTTTATAATGTCCCCATTTCTGGCAGTGGTGACAGGGGCCAGACGTGGGCTGGCGGAAACGTGGCTGTGCAGCGGGCGGTGGTGGTGGTGGAAGGGGTCTCGGTGGAGCCGGGGTGTAGCTGGTTCCCCCAAAGGTTTTAAAAGTGGCTTTTGGAGCTGCAGGTTTTTGCTGCCTGCGTGCATCCAGGTACTCATCTGCCTTCCTGGCAGCTTTGGTGAGAGAGGTAGGGTTTCTGTCTCTTACCCACTCCTGTACATCGCTGGTTACTCCCTCATAAAATTGCTCCATCAGCATCATCTGTATTACATCCTCCATGGACCGTGCCTTGCTCGCTTGCACCCACCCAAGTGCTGCCCTTTGTAATCTGCATGCCCACTCTGCGTGTGAATCTTTCTCCAACTTCTTTAAGTCCCTGAATCTCCGCCGGTATGCTTCTGGTGTAATAGTATACCTGGCCAGTATAATTTCTTTAACTTTACTGTAATTCCGTATCTCTTCATTGGGTACAGTAAGGTATGCCTCGGCTGCCCTCCCAGTTAACCTTCCTGCCAAAATAGGTACCCAGTGCTCTGGGCTGATTCTATGCAGTGCACACAGTCTCTCAAAATCTTGCAGGAAAGTGTTTATATCTTCCTCTGCCTCCACATACGTTTTAAAAGCCTGGTATGGTATCTTAGGCTTACCTTCGTGTTGCATATTTACTGCAGAGCTGCATTCTGGGGCTGCTGTTTGTTTTCTCAATATGAATTCCTGGACCTCTGTCATAGTTTTTGAAATAATCTCCGCTGGAGGGTGTTCCCCATAGAAAGACAGCCGAAATTGTAGCTGCCTCTGGAACTCCATTTGTTCCGGTGTTTCTCCCGAATCCGCCTGTTCGGGAACCGAATCGCCATCCATTCGGTACTCCGCCATAAGTTCAGTAATGAGCACCGCTTTCTTCTTATTGCTGGCTTGTATACCCCTTGCCTCCAGGAGGTCTTTTAGCGTGGAGCGTTTTAGTGTGGCAAAATCAATCTCCATCTGTACTCCATTTATGCTTGTTCCTCTGTGAGTCTGGATCCCAGCGCTGCCAACCAATGTAGCGGAGATGCAATACTCCCCAGGTTATCTCCGCTTATAATCCAAGTGAGGCTCAGGAACAAGTAAATAGTAAATCCACAGGCAAGGTTTCCAGCAGGTAAAATAACAGCAATATACCAACAGCAATCCCAATAACTGGAAGACACACAGTTTCAGGAGCAGAACTGAAATCTTTTAATCCACACTGTCCTTTTAAAGCATGCTGCCATGCAAGGGAGGGATTTACAATCATTAGTATAGTAGCCAATCCTGTCCTGGTAACCTCCCACACATCTCCTCCCCTCAGCCTGCATCATAATCCCCTTATCCAGTCTAGCAATTCCCCCCGTTTCTGGATGTACCCCTAAACGTAGGGGTACCCCTTTAAATCCTACATCCCCTGATAGCCCTGATCTGGGTGAACAACATATCCAAAAATCACCCAGATCAGACCAGGGGTTCGGGAAATGCATGGAGGGAATAAAATGACCGACCGCACTGACTGAGACAGCCGAATGCGGTTCCATGCGAATGGGCCCTGCGGTCGGTCCTGGAATAAGGGAACAGACTGTACAAAAGCCTCTAGCTATAGAGGCTAGGGAGAGTTCACCTGAATCCCCTCGTTCGGTTCTTCCTGTCTACCGAACGAGGGGCCGTTCGGTAGTTAGGAACCGAACGGACCGGGCTTGTGGAGGTTTCAGCGGTGTTTGCCTAGTCGAGTGTCCGATTTGAGTTCCAGACACTCAACGGCAAAACACCGCTGTTCGGGAGTTTTAAAATGGCCGCCGCCACGTGTTAGTTTGTCGAATGGCGGCCACCCCCGAGAACAAAGGACGGCTACTTAACTTGTCAATTACCCGTTCGCAACAATGTTGCAACAGGTAATTGAGGACACACTTCACATAGGGGAGGTCTGATTGTTCGGTAGTTTCCCTTAGTCTATTCGAATGATTCTACCGAACAATCAGAGGAATACAATTCTTTTAAACACATACAAAAACCCAGCAATTTACACGAATGCAGCTATTCATAAAACATTTGCAGGACAGCCCAGTGCCATCCGCTACACCCGCCTAATGAGCAAACCTATAATTACCGGTTTATCTGTGACCCAAAGGGTACTGTGTGGAAAATCTGAAGTAGTGTTGTCTTTGAAATAGTGTTGCAGGGCTGTCTTCAATTCATCCCTGAATTGCGTGTTGTGGAGTAAAGAGGTGTTTAGGCGCCATGGGCTACGTTGTTTAAAGTCATATAAGTCCTTATGATCTAAAGTGACAGGCGCGTGATGTTGCACTATGTCGCACTTAACAATCTGGTTAAGGGAATTCCCTTGCAGGAGGAACCCATCTATCCTGGAATAGGAATTATGTACCAGTGAGAAGAAGGAATAGGATTTTTCGGTAACGTGTGTTAGCCTCCATGCATCATATTAATGATGCATAGCTAGGAGTTTTTGGATTGCCTTGCTTTGGCATTTTTAGGGTTTGGTACCTAACGCTATGAGGTGAGAGAGTGGTGTCCATCTGGGGGTTCAGAATGTCATTGAAGTCACCACAGGTGATCGTTATTCC